AGTTTTTGTTTTGTTCTTGTTTTTTATTAAATAAAGCCCATTATTGTTTCCTGCACTTGAGTCCTCACTCCTCAACCCCAAACCCTGACACACTTACTGTTAATATTATTACAATTTAAAATAACCATTTTCTATTTGAATATGTACAAAAATGTAATGCATTCCTGTGATGGCAAAACTGATGGCTATTGTAATGAAAATTCATTGCCACATGATTCTTAACAAATCTGTCTAATATGCTGATATGCTGCTCAAGGAACATTTAGTACTATCATCAATATTGAAATAAGTCAACAGTCTGAATAAGTTGTGCTGCTTATTTTTTTTTTTTTTTTTTTTTTTGAAAGCATGATAAAAATAGGATCCTTTAATGAACTGAAAGTTCAAAAGAAACACTACATTTGCAACAATGCAAATGTATTTAAGATCACTTTTGATCAATTTAATGCATCTTTGGTGAATATAAGTAGCCTAGTAATTTCTTTAAAAAAAAATAAAATAAAAACAATTATAAAGCATAGCCGACACAGAAGCTGACAAGGTGCATGATTCACACACTTCCAGTTCCATGCAACAGTAAAAATGTCAACTGCTTAAAATTCTACAAGTACAGACAGAAGATTGATTATAATGGGAGTGATTTATCAGCTAACTGTAGGTCGTTTACAGTTACTAAGCAACAGCACAACCTGTAACAGAATTTGACTGATGTGCGGTCCGAAGTGTGCAGTGTGTCTCATCCAATTTGAATGTATAATGTTATTATTTTGTGGTTTTGAAAGTCTGATTGTTCTGACCTTTTCTGGAAAGAACATTTAAAGACAGAACCTCTTGGGACTTTAATTGAATATCCTGCTTTAGGGAATCCTATTCAGATGATTCTGTTGTTTTGATCAGGATTTGGAGGTCCCTCCCCCGCTTCGTTCTCCTGTTATAACACAATACCCCAGAGCCACCTCTCCCAACACTCAGAATTCTACATGTTCACTACTGTACACATTTCTCTGTGACTGTACGACATGCTGCAGAGGGTTATTATTTTCTTCTGAGTGTGAAGTGCTGAAAGACATTTCAGGCTTGTGACAGAAGCCGCTGCTGCTTATATACTGAGACACTCTGATGCATGTTTACAGCCATCTCCCAAGAGCAATCACATCAGATGCGAAGGTGTAAACTACAAACTTTGAAACACCAAATAAAAGGAAACACATGAACATAGTACTCTTCAACAGCAGCAGAGCAGTAAAAAAACAAACAAAACAAAAACAGATGTTTCATTTAGAGCATTATATTATGAGACTTTGCTCAGCGGCAGCGCAGATCCAATAATAGCAACAGTAAATACACTCGATTCAGTTCTTTGTCCAGAAGCGTGCTAATATCATTCTGGTCTGAAGGCTTTCTTTCTTGGAGGTCTATGAAAGCACACTTTCCAATAGATCTTTAAGAGGGCTCTTGAGTCTTTGCATGCAGGAATCGGTGAGCATCTTATATTGATTGTGGAGCCTTTGCATGGGGTCCGGCTATTGATCAACTCTAATTCTGCTAACCGATCAAATCAAGGTATCCACCATTAACTGTGAGGACTTTAAAATGTCAGCAAGACGGTTGGGGGTCATTGAATAAATTCCATTGCACATTCTTCTGAAATCGGAAGTGCAACGTGTCTATTCCTGGAAAGTGGGAGAGTGTTTGAAACAGGTGGTCCTGTTTATCGATTTATGCATCATCTATTTTAATTACTTTTTTACCACGAGGCAATCTGATTAATATTACCTCTCTAAATATACAGGGTATTTAAATTTAATGTAATAAGACTAATCAGAAACCATCCAACACCTGAAAACAAGACTACAGCAGCAAACATATCAAACATGGCTTTGGGAAATCAAGAGAGATGTTATATTTAGCTGATGCTGTATTTCATATAACAATGAACAATAGCAGCACACACAATATCCCAAACTTCAAAATCACAAAAGACAGTCTTAACCGTCATGTTCTGTTATTGATTTTAATGCTTTCCGGAAACCGTAATTACTGTATCAAATACTTATTATGACACTTTATCCTACTGTTTTACCACAAAGTAAATGTCCACTTTTCAGAAATGTAACTAAACATACTTAAGAAATATAAAATTAATTGAACTGCATTCATTCATGTTTTATATCAGGGCTGGAGAATGGAGAATAAGAGTTTTGTCATTGTTTATACAACAGTTCAACAGTTCGTCGTGCATTATTCACCCATTAAAAGCACTCTAACGTTTCACCGTTTGTATCGCTCCGCTTGTTTCGACTGTCATGGTGGTTGAGCAAATCCACCATATTTAAAAAAAAATAGTACTGTTGTTGTGTCACGAAATGTAGTTTTAGGCAAGAATGTAGTTATTTGGACATCAAATATATGACTAATATATAATCATAGTGCCTATTTATTTTACAATCTGTTTAGACACTTTCGCAGATGCGAGCTCCAGGCCGTCAACGGCCGTTCAGCGCTTATGTTCCCGCAGAGAACAGCGTCACCTAGGCCAGTCCTTCGGGAATTTGCTGCTGGCTTTTATGTAGATAGTGGTTAAAGATATGATTCTTTGTTCTTATTAATCTATTACTTGTCCCAGAACAAATCAATTTTGCTTAAAGTCCCCGTGAAATCAAAATTGAACCTATTTACTTTGTTAGCGCATATTACTAGTCTTGTGGTGAACAATTAATCCGTGCAAGTGAATATATATTAAAACAATGTTTTACCTTAGTAATCTTTAATCAAAATCTGAAAAGTTACTTCCGGTCTGGACGGTTTCTTTTTCTGATGACGTAGGTTTCACAGTTTGGGTGGGGAAACGCTTAACCACTCCCCTCAAACCGTTAGTTTGCTATGAGCGAAGTATTAACTAGTATGCTTTCCTATAACACCACTTCTTATTTAATCAACTTTTGCCCAAGATCAAATCCTACCCCCTTTTCTGTGTACTCACCCCCTTTTTGTTCACCCTGGTAGGTGCAAACAGGGATGATTTGCTCTAAGGATTGAGCCCACACAGGGGGAGCAACTGAGGGTAACTTTCTTCAGGCATCACATTCAGTTCATGGCACAAGAGGCCATTCAGCAATGCACAGAGTCGGGGCCTTCACAGCATTCCTCTCACAGCTCATTGTGTGAGGGCTGCCCATTCACCATGCAACAGATCTGCACGGGAGCACAGCAGAGCGATACAAGAGACCTTCGATTATCCGGGACAAACTGCTACACCGTTTAAATATGACTGAGCTTCATAATGGGTCAGTGAATAACAAATGTCTTATCTTGAGGAAAGACAGTGAGGAAAAAGTGCAAGAACATCATTGACTAATGAGCATGTTGAATTTTCCACCTGAGAGAACCCTGTGAAATTCATAGAGGGACTGATTTGTATTTTCACTCCATTACAAATCCCACTGCACACCTCCAGCTCTGACAGAATCAGAGGATGAAGTTTAATGGCACTGTTTGGGGACCCTCACATTAGTGTTTGGATCTGCATCCTAATATATGTTAATAAGGCAATTACAGTATGCAATTGTTTTCATTTAATCTGATTGGTTTTCCTCAAGACCAGAGAGAAGGCATGAGGTGCTGATGGATGGGAACACACAGAATGCATGAATAGAGGATGAGGCAGGAGGGTCTATGCGTAGCTCAAAATTCACATTAAAAAAAAAAAGAAAGAAATATTGGTAACCTGGGGGAGATGAATCCTTAGATTTAAGGTGAACATCTTGAATGTCCTCTCAGTATTATTACAGAACAAAGAACATTTAAAATGCTACAGAGCTGAAAGAAACCTTCCTAGTGTCTAGTTTGCATCATATTTTTAAAAACTGTATTCTCTAAACTCTATTCTCTCTATTCTCTGATGCTTTGGTGGGAAAAAAAGAAACTGAGAAAGACGGATATAGAGCAATGTTTCCTAACCTTTTTTGTCTTACATTCTCCAATGAGTAAGGCGGCTCAGAAATCATAAGAATCATGTTATTTTATACTGGATATATCACATAGCATTATAATTAAGTGGCTATTATTACAATGACAATGATGTATCAATACTTTAAGTACTTTCTAATACAACTGAGATGTATTTTAAGCATTTGGTGCACATTCTCAAAGAAAAATCTAACAATGAATTTTATTTATGGAAGTATGGCTATTCCTAATTGGGAATCATTGATACATGAGAGATATTTCACATCCCCGGTCTACATCCCTAATATACTCCTGCTGTTAGACATCTTCGTGAGCGTAAAGAGCTTGAAAGTCATTGATTAATCAATTCATTGGTAGTAAGGCTTGTTTTCATTAACAGCGCTTTGAACCTCTGTTCTGTACAACGGAAGCTGCCACACGTTGTGCGCTTTAAGACTAGAAACACAAATATCTTACAAGCTACAAGAACAAAATGACCCAACATAACTGACCGACAATCCTCAAAAAATCCGCAAAATAGATATGAATTCATAATGATCCGCATTATAAGCATAACATAACGGTTTCATGATGTATCAGCAACGAGGAGCTCGCGTTCATGACGCATAATTGAGATAATTGCACGCACAGTATTACAAAAGAAAAAAATAAAGAAAAAAATACGTACATCTGTGCATTAAAATGTGTTTAATTTGATAATTGGGTTATTTTCTAAACACGCGCGTTCGGCGCAACACAGATTGTTTTGCGCCTGGACCCTGCACTTTGTGTAGTTGTGAATCATATAGGCCTATCAATAATACATTAAAAAACGATTGCCATGCCAGATATATTAGTGTTTAATACAAATAAGATCGATTTAATCTCCGCGTTGTATGCGCAACAGGGAGACAAAACTTTCACATAGCCTACAGACTTCTTCATTTTATCATTCTGCCATCAACGCAACAGATAGACATGAATAGCAGCTGCAGTGTGTTGATATTCACTACACACATTTTCTCCACACTGTAAAAATGGGTTGTACTCACAAGCATATGTCATGGAGAAGCTATTCCCCATTTTGACCATATCCACTTGAGGTACCAGTTTAGGGATATCCTGGTGATGCGAGAGCGCAAACCGAAACACTTCATATTCGTGTGATTCGGTTGGGAACAATCCTCCTGTGAGGAGAGATAAATTGCAGATTAGGCTACGTTAAAACAACACATGCAGTTTTCTGGTAAAATAAGTAAATTTACTAAAACCACAATTACGAGTATTTCTCCATTTTTTAAAAAAAAATGTATTCATAACGCAACATTCTACACTCCAGCCTTCACTTTAGTAATTCACTCACCTATGTTGATATTACTTGGGAAACTGGAACCGAAGCACAATCCCAGAAAACTGGTGCAGAGCAGTGTGAGGCTTCGGTGCATATTTCCTTTTGCATTAGCGAAGAAAAAGAAAGCCAAATCCCAAGCATGGGTATGCGCGGGGTGTAGAATATCTCTTCTGGATGCTCTCACACTATCCGCACATCGGCGAGTGAACAGCGTGGATATACAGGTGCACCTCTTTGCGCGTGCTGTCCTCTCTCGCGCTGCGTCCTTGTGTGTTGCGCTCCCAGCCGTTCTTTCAGCACGAGCTTCCTCTGAGAGCCACGGATGCGCGCGAGAGAGAGAATGAGTGACGGACCCCTATAACCGTATTCCACTCCAGTGCAACACCGTGTGTGGACTTTCTTCTCACGTTAAAGATTAACCACTTACTGTATGATTTATTTACCCAGCTGACTTTCTCGCGTTAAACTGCGTCTTGTTACGCACCAATGATAGCAAATTAACGCGTAAACAAACAAGAGCGTCTAGTTTGAATAAAGTAATGGCAAAATAATGGCGTACTAAAAATAATGTCATTTTTTAATAATGAAAAATAAACTATTTTTTTTTTAGTTTGACAACAAACACACGGGAAAACACAGCATAGTTCAAAACAAAATAATAATTAATCATTTCTGAACATTGACTCTCAGTCTTTATCTACATGTTTCTCATGTTTTCTCAAAACAATTCATAAAGTATTTAAGAATATAATATCATATTTCTAATATGGGCACATTGTAACACAGTGTTAACATGCCCCAACAGCACAACTGGGGTTAAACCATGCTAGTCTTAAGAACTTTATCAACTGTTAAACAACAGATTTGGGATTTAAATAATATCAGATTTGTCTAATTTTAAATAAACACAGAACAAAAAAAAACTTCAAAACTTCAAAAAAATGAACTTATAAGAAATGTACTTTTGCTGTGGTTAAATAAATGTTCATTGATATTTTACAAAGATTTCTAAATTTTTGCACATTTTTTTCTTTATAGTGTTGAAATGGCATTTAGTAAATACACCAAGCTTTGTCATGCTGACATGTGTGGAAGTATTTAAAACAAGTGTGTTACAAGTAACCCCGTTACGTTGTGCCCCGCGCTCCCCTACATTCAATGTTAGGAAGGTCACTTTAGAAATTTAATTGCTCACTGTTATAAGTTGCCCATTATAAATGTGATTTAGATTACTTTATTTGGATTACTTTATCAATGTAAAGCAATTTCCTTTCAATTTGATTAGTAACTATTTAATTACACATTTTACCTCCCATAATACAACTAAATACAATTACATTCATTTTGTAATTCAATAACATAATTTCATTACCAGTATCTCACTCCACCCAGCATACAGTTTGTTCTAATATATATATATATATATATATATATACATACATACATACAAATACATACAACTGTCCACCTCAAAAAACATTTTTCTCCCTAAAGATTTACTAAAGAAATTCTGTGAAATGGAGTTCCACATAATAACAAAACAATTACGATAAATCATACTTAATTAGTTGTTTTGTGATTAGAGATTTTAACATTCATTTCTGGAGGAAAAAAATTGCTGGTAGTTAAAACTAATGTAATATGATATCTAATGCAATCATATCATGTTGCAGGGGATTCCAAGTAAATTCAAAGGCCCACTTTATGGTTTATCTTCCTTGGTTCACACAATATTTAAACTTGGAGTTAAAATTGTGATGGTTTGAAACATGCAGGCTCAGGCATTGAAACCATCCTTTATGATGTTGCTGGGCAATCTCTACCACTTAAAGCTGCACAGCCAGCTTCACAGCCACTTTGAGCTGGAGAGAGCAATGACAAGATTAGAGCTTTCGGGCTGATTCAGAACAACAGTGGGTTATTTATAATCCCCTGCACTTTCAGTGTGATAGAGATTACCTGGCAAACATTGCAGGAAACAACATGCCAGTCACTGTCGCAGCGTCACAACAGTAATTCTCAAACACGAGCCCTTCAAGATGCTCATATTCTCATGGATTTATGTGCATCTTAAATGATCACATGTCTGAGCATACAGTAAAATTGGCATATGTATTTGGTCATAGCATTATCCTTGGTGATGAGCAAACCTACTTGGCCTCAGCTCAACCAACTATAGTTTTTGCAGTGAAACTATATTGGCATCAGGTGTATTAAAAGCAATGTGGGCTTAAATGTTATCCACGTTACTTTGTCAAGTCTTTTGTGAAGTTCCCTACTTGTTTATGAAAAAGGGCTGCAAATCCTGTCTTTGACAATTAGGATTAAGGATAAGCTCATTTATCAGACATCGGCAATTTCTCTTCTCTGAATAATGAAAAAATTGCTTTTCCTTTTAATATTGTCTCATGCAAAAAGAGGACCCAATTAACATATTTTCACTGACAATACAATTTAAGCAATTTAATGGGTGTGGGGTGAGAAACAAGAGTCCTTTTTTTTCTGTTCTCAATTTAACACGCAAAATGCACCCGTGATAAAACATGATAGGTATCTGGCTGCTGTGACATCTTTGAGGAAATCTGGTGAGATGTAGCACTGCAGAAAATGAAAGAGGACTTTTGAGAACTTACCATCTGCAAAGTGTGAAAGAGAAGGTATCATTTATTATAAATAAGTTCAAGAGGAAGGTACACATACAAATGAGGCGAGATAAAGCACATGGGCTGCAATAAACCACACCAGCTTCTTACCATGAAGCTCAATTACTCATTGAAAAGTGAAAAGGTGAGGAGGCCTTTCTCATTAAGCCTGTATAATATTCAACCCAAAAGACCTCTATTAGACATCAAGGCAAAAGGAGCAAGTAGGCTTGGAAAATGATTTGCAAACATTACGTAAGATGTTTTGATTATTGTACACACAGCTTGTTCTCTCTGGCCTGTGCACTCTTCTCTGGGGCCTACACAATTAATATTATCTCTTTTTCAAGATGATGTCTGCTGTCAAAGAACGTCTCGGTTACTAACCTAACCTCGGTTATCTCTAGAAGAGGGAACGAGTGTTGCGTAAGCTAGCTTTTGCTATGAGAAAACCTCTTTTTTTGAGAATACTGAAGCCAACAATCTAACCGACGGCTAGTGCTATGACTTAAACCATTTACACAGTCAGTCAATGCACAGCTAAATCCCGACTCAGAACTACCTAACTACCTCAGAACACGCCTTATTCACGGCAGCGCCATCTTTGTTTTTTAATGAGAATGAAAGCGAGGCTGTGAGGGATAGACTTGCATCTCTTCAATGGGCTGTACTGTTATTTCATGTGTTTTCGGATTGTTCTGCTCATGAAACACTGGAAAAATATCTTTCCAAGAAATTTCAGTTGACAAAAAACTCCCGACAATGTAAGTTGTGGAAAATTGTAAGTTATCTAGGAGCTTTATTCAGCTTATTACAGCGGATGCCATTGGAAACACGGTAAGTCTATCCCTCACAGCCTCACTTTCATACCTGTCATGGCGCTGCTCTAAATAAGGTCTACTGGCTAATGTTTGAAGATACAAACATTTGCATGTTTAAGCATTATGCATATACCACTAATCACATATTGCCTCCCAGAAGGTCATATAAACAGACAGACAGATTATATTAGATGTTTTGTATGTCATGTTCTGTTTAGTTAAGGATTGTGGACTAAATTGGTGGCTGCAATTAAATTGGACCAAAGACTGCGAATACCAAGAGAGATTACATGCATAAGAGAAACTGCAGCGCACCATATGGTGGAAAAAGTCTTCAAAATAAACTTCAAAATAAAAGAGCCAATCGCCAATCGGTGAAGTCATCTAGTCACTGTAACGACATCAGCTGCCGTTAGATGCTCAGGTTCCAATAGAAACAGTGAGTATCCTGAGATTTTTTAATGCTATTTGAAGATAATTAACAACATTTTTGGGTCAGTTTTTTTGTGCAACACATCTCAAAATCCAATCAACCACCAATAGAACAAAGTCCCCTCCCTACATTTTTCTCTTTTTCGCCAATATGTTACACTCGGATTTACTTCACAATATGGAACACAGATCTGTTGCTATACTTCCATTTCATCATGGCTTTAAATACAAAGTTCTGTCATGAAAAACTGGATGGGACAGGCTGATAACACGTCTTTCTCTATAGGGCACATCTGATTGGTTCATGCTGTATCAGTAGCCAATGAACTTGTGTGCTCAACTTTCAAATACTTGGTTAGCATTTGCTGTAGCAGTTGCAGCATGCTTTAAGACACTCTACCTACCTTACCCAGCCCCAACTGTATAGATCTGATACGGATAATTAATGTGCAATATATTGTACAGCAGCAGCATTTCTTGCATGCATTGGCAGTAGTAAGTCCAGTACTTGCTCTACAGTAGCAGCAGTGTAGCAATCTATTCAGCCAAGACCAAAAATATACAAGTGGTACTCACTGCAGAGTCAAATAATGACCAGCTCCTCCTCTCTGAAGCTCTAAGGGGGTGGAGGGATTGAGTTGTGGGTATGGGTTAGGGTGTGGATATTCTAGCTCTACCCATTAGGCCCAAATTACATTCGCTCCTCCTCGGTATCAATTGCCATGCCAAACACTCAGAGTTGTCATGACATAAATATGGATTTGACAATCAGTTTTTGAGATTTCAGTATTTCATGCTGATATAAATTAGTCTTGCATGCTCAAAATAGCTATTCGGAAGTACTGCAAACAGCCGCAGAGTGAACTGACTTTTCCTGAAAGGGACTTTGGTATTATTTGAATTGTACACTCATAGACAACATCAGTTTCTCATAATTATTTTTAACTGTTAGATAAGGACTGTCCCTTTTTGACTTGTTGGACCAATATCTCAATCCTAAAGATCAATATGAGGCAGGGAAGCATGTTTAACTTTAATTGTCTTAATTGTGAGTATTAATGTGCAACTTAATTAGACTTTGTGATCAATTGTGTTGGGGGTTTTTCTTAGGATAAAGATCTGTACCTCTAGAGATTCAACAGAACATGTAGACATAGCCAGGAAAAGATGTATACAGCAAGTTTGCATAAATTGTTATGGTAATAGTTTTACGACTGAATTAATTACCATATTTGATGGACTGGAGAGAATTGCCTTATCAGACTAAGACTATTTTTTGGTTGAACTGTCTCCGGATCCCTTTGTTTGCATGTGGTACAAAACATAATTTTTCTATTTTTGAATATTCTGAATCATGGCAAGTCTATAGGGACAAATTACACAGTTAAGAACTATGATTGACACCAACTGACGGAAAGGTAGAAAACAAAGGAGTCAAAGATATGTGTGTTTGGCATTTTTTAAAGGCCTAAAACCCC